GAATAATTAATTTTGAAATGTTTCATTCTTGATGTTTTATTCAAATATTTCTTACAATAAAATTAGAATGTGAAAAAATAGTACAAATGTGATATTGTACTGGGACAAGGTGCATAAATTAAGAAAAACACTATGTAGTAGGTTTGCTTGATTAATCAAGAATGGGTATTTGGCCAATTCTGGAATAATTAAAAATCAACGAATAGTTGATATTTATTCCGATAGGTGGTATGCAAGCCATCTGCAACTTTAAGTTGCCCGATAAGGAAATGCCCCTTTTTTTCTTAATAAAATTGGAGCTACATTTTTTTGCAAACTCTAGCTGTGGATTTTTAGAATAGATTATTCAAAATTAGTGGTGCTTCACATTCAATTGAAAGGATCGCCAAACCATTAAATTTTATTTAGTCCAATGCTGAGTAAATAATTTAGCTTTTAATCTCAACTCTGAAAAGCTCTCTCAAGAAGCAATTGAAATGCACACTGTCAAAAATCTTTGGTGCAAAATATGTTGGGTACTTGATTCTTGAAAATCCATTTACACACAAAAAATGAATTGCAATTTCAATGCAGACCACTTTTAGCTTCATCCTTTTCAACTGTTGCTTCAACCCCCTGATCACTAGATGTCCAGCCTTCTAACCCATCTCACTCCACTTCCCCCTGAGGGATAATTTATCTTATTCAAAGCAGTTTAAAAGCACCTGGATTTAATGATCAGGGGAGAGTTCACACTGAGGTGGTCTCAACCCCACTTGTTACCAGGGTGGGCCTCAGACCTTCTCTTTCCTCTCTGACCAACTCCTCATGGTTCTCTGCTTCTGGATCCTGGCTCCTATGTGTGGCCTTACCACTTGTCACACAACTACCACCACTGCTTCACAAATTACCACATATATATGTTGTAAATAATGGTGAGTGGAGCCGACAACGTCACAGTGGGCTCCTCATCCAACATGCAGTCAGGGCCGGAAGTGGAGGCGCACTAGCCTGAAGACAAAATAAGACCACAAGCATAGGAACATGGTTACCTTGGTTTAGGGGATGGTTCCCGGGAAGGGTGAGACTAAGGGGAGTCCTTGGAACACTCTGGTCAATCAGGTAGCATGGCAGCTAACTATTCTCCTACCCTGTGCTGGGTACCTCCTCTGTCAGGACCTCTCCTTCAGAGAGCCCCGGCTTATATCATATTGGTGACGTCAGAGGGGGAGGACGTCCAATCAGGGATTGCCATGACCGATGTCCATAAATTTCTCTTGTTTATACTATCCTTCCCGGCTCACCGTCCCTTTCTCTCCCGGTTATCCTTTTTATTGACTTCATTTTGTAGTTATACATGAGTTTGATTTTATATACAACATATACAATACGACATATTTGTGAAAAAATAGTACAAATGTGATATTGTATTTATTCCGATAGATGACGCAAGCCATCAGCAAATTTCAGTTGCACGATAAGGAGATTCCTTTTTCTTAATATATATATTTGTCAATTATATTCTAGTTTTGAGATGTTGATAGAAATTATCGATTGATTGGAATAGACGTATTCTTAATTCTTGTTTCTTCATCTCTTACCTCGTCTCTTGACATCATCTTGAAACTTTTTGTGCCAATTTCTCAGTGGATATTCCCATTTCCTTGCAAGTATATATTTTTATACATATTCTACCAGTTTGTCTTAGCAAAAAATGTTTTAAAACAATTTATTTTTGGATACTTTTATCCTAAATAATTCCTTCAATCTACAAATACTTTTGAGTATGGTTCATATCCTCAAGAACAATCTTAAAAATCATAATGTGAGCTGTTTACCCAGCTGTTGACTGCACAGCCTTACCAGCTCTTTGAATTCATCCACACCTGGGCTCAGCAGGCCCGGCTGATAGTACCCTGTAAGGGCTCCTGATTCAGGGATACAGGATGAGCAGCGTTTTTACTCCATATTAGGAGCGGCTGCACATGGCGTTTGTTACTCATGCCAGAGGCGGCCATTTCTTTTGGAGCTAAGTTGGCCTGCCACTGAGTAGTGCTTCCAGTCTTAATGACAAAGGCAGACGCATTCTACTTCACCCAATCATGATGGTTGTCAAATCTCTTTTTCAAAGTCTCAAGCTCTACAAGCTTAACACCCTAATATAATTGAGTGGAGGTAAGAAAAAGAAGATCCACACAGTTGTAATTTCACTAGACTTGGGCAACATAACCGTTATGTTTTTTCAATTACAATATAAATAGTTTACCGTGAGAGTTGCCAATTTGTTAAGTACGTTTGTTGTGTATGGAGTGCATTAGTTTTTATATTGGAATGATATTTTATTCCTATTATTATTATAGAGAAATATATGTTAATGAGAGAGAGAGAGAGAGAGAGATAATTGACAATTATCTTAATTTTATATTGACACTCAAAGTCAATAATCATAACAAAAAATTCAACAAAAGTGTTAAAAACAAAATTCAAGAACTTGAAATTTAAATTATTTGCAACAGACTGATCCCTCACTGAATGGATGTTCGGTTTTCATCAGCTTCACAAGCCGCCCTGAATTTGGCCAGCTTATATAGTGGTTGTTGTCCCCGACACTCGCAATTGTTGAGGAATTCTACGAAAATAAGCTTTTCCTCGGGCGTAAGACTGACGAGGACATCCTCCCTTGGCGGTACAAAACCGGCCATTCTAACATGCAGGTTTAATGACCCAGCAGTCTGAGGAAGCTGTTTAGTTTGAGTCTTGCTGAAAGATTCCGGAATGCTAGTGGAGGATGCAGTCTCGTTTTTTTTTTTTTTCATTTTGGGCTGTCGGTGTGGAAGACATCTGTGCCGGGGTAGCCTCTGACGCAGGGGTCTTCACGCTGCTCCTCTGGCTTGAAGCCGAAGAGGGCGCTTGTAGTGGCGTCAACCAGCTGGCGTTCGACCCTGGAGCAGAAGGTTCTATAACTTAGTCCCCTGGGGAGGGACAGAATGGTTATCCGCAGGCGATGACGCGGCAGAACACTCCGCGGTTGAGACGGCGGAGCTGCCTGATGTGACGGGCCCGTACACTGTTAACACTTGAGTGTCTTGATGACGCTCCCCTCTTATCTCAAAGAGGCAAGTGGCTCGCCGATGTCTCTGGCGGCCACATTTACCACACCTAACGCCGTAGGTTATGTAGGCGGATGTAGATTCCCCTTTGGAGATAATCATCAGCTTGGCAGGGAGCTGGTGGAGATTCTGCCCTTCGTTCAGAAGAACGAAGGCCTCCCTGTTGCCGGTGGTCTAGGTGTAACCACCATTGGAAACAATTTCGTGGGTCAGGGAGACAACCCTGTAGTAGGCCGCGACGACGTCTTCATCCTTGATAGCAAGTGGGAGATTTCCCACTACCATTTTATCTGCTCTTTGCCTATATGGGAAGGCTTTCAGGAGGGTGGTTCCGATGGTGAGACCCTCCTCAACCAGACTCTCCCCGCAGCCCGACCAATACCCGGCCGGCTGATGAAGTACTGGTCGAATGTCGCAGCTGCCGACCTAGCCTTGACGAGGTCTTGCTGCTGTTTTTAATCACCGTTACAGAATCTCTTTTACCTTGTTCAGTTGTTGAGGTGGCGATGGCCTTCGCAACTTTTGATGGTTAGATTGGAGACCCTTTGCTTTTCCTTTTTGAGCTTTAGTCTTTTGCCAACCTTGAGATGTCGCTTCATTCTCAAAAGCTTCGACTCGGCCTTCCCAATTTGCATTTTTATTTTCCGAACGCAATCAAATTTTCATTTTCTATCGTCGATTGTTGATCATGTAAAATTGAAACTTCTATTGGAGTTTTATTCAATACCTCTGAGTGTGTTCACACCATCCTCTCTCTGTCTTATTAACCTTCTTCTCCTACTGTTGACTAGATGTCAATAAAAAAAAATTAATTGTCATCCTCTGTCATATTGACATCCTCCAATACCTGAACATGTTGGTAATTTCTCCATCGCCGAAAACGCGAAGCTCGCGCTCCGCACGGCCAAGAGAGATACAATTGCAAGCTGCCCACGCAACGGTTTCTGCGCAGTGCGGGTGTGGACATCAATACTTCGGCGTTTGCGACATATCACCAACTATTAAAATAAGAACTATTAAAATAAGAGGCTTAATCTCCAGGGAAAAGTTTCTTAAAAAAATAAAAAGAAACGTTTCCCTGGAGGCTTAATGTTCTTATTTTACTATTGATTCAAGGGATTATTTTATCGAATATCACGAACTGATTTGCATATTCCGAGCTCTAAATATGGAGTGAACATTTCCATCGTGTTAGATTTTATCCGGGGATAGGTCATTTTAAAATGTTATTTAAATATCTTCCTCCACTCAGGGTGGGCCACATGGTCTGTCTCTTCTACCTCCCGCTTTATCTCCCCGTATACGCGTCGTCCAGTCCATTGTTTCAGGTCGTCCATACACTCTCGTCAGACCATTGGGGCAGGTACAGTGAGGGCCCCAAGAACCTGCCACAGAGTAGTCTTTGATCCGGGTATTTCCCTGGTACCACTCATTTCTGGGAGGCATTCCTCTCTATGCGCCACATTTAATAATAATGGGCGTTTAAAAAATTAAACGAACCTATGTGTTTTTATATTATCCACACAAGAATGTTTTACTTTTGCTCTAGTAGGAGCAAAAATATTCAATTCCGAAAACTCAATTTTTATAAACTTCACTTTAACCTGAAAAAACAATATAGAGGTTTATTTTCCTTGTGATTATTAGTTTAAAAATATTTAAAATACGTGTTATACGCAAACATACGATAGATTTTTAACAAATATAATTAAACATTTCTAAATTAGCAAAATTAGTTCTAAAAAGCCATGGTAGATGGCGCCAGCATCGCATTCCGTCTTTATGTACCCTTTGACCTTCGGGTTTGTGTTTAATATCAATTCACAATTTGTAATGCATTTTATCCCTCTATTGTCAATTAAGGTATAAAAAAGAACACTCAAGGAAAATAAATGATGTTTTTAAAAAAATTGTCAGAAGTGGGATTCGAACCCACGCCCACAAAGTGGACTGCGACCTGAACGCAGCGCCTTAGACCACTCGGCCATCCTGACAGGCACCTCGTTTATTATTACATAAGCATTTCAATATTGTAGCGTAGTTTATTTGTTCTATGTTAGTTTACATAATTTTAAGTTTCAGATTTTGTTAGATTTATTTGCAGAGATTGGTTTGGATTGTCATTGCTATATAAATTTGTGTATCTTTGGGGGTATGGAAGAATAATTCTCTATTTATAGCGACAATATATGATCATTTTCCATGAATTTCTCTTTGATTAGTTTTTTTTTCTTCACGAATCGAGAGCGTTAAGGGCCATTTAAAGATAACCATTAATCCGCTCGCTTTCAAGACGTGAGAGAGGCATTTTAAACATCTTCCTCTACTAATAAATGGTTACTGTTAATTTTAATTACGTTTCAAATATAACCCCACCCTACTCGCCCATTGTCTGTTTTTTCTTCATCGCAAACAACACTTCAAACGTTGGCGGATATTTTGTAACAAGAAAACGTTGCATATGTACATATAGTTTTTGCTACGTGGTTCTGCCATTTTTTTTCAGACCTATAGCTGAAAAGGCGTAAAGGCTATTATATAGAGAAAGATGAAATAGTAAAAAACTGAGCAATCTATTTCTTCTAATCATAATCATCTCTGCGTGAAAAAATAATTTTAATACAATAAAGAAGATCAGGTGTTGATATTAAAAACAAATTAGGCATATCCTGACCACTAACACGGGCGTTTTTTAGATGGCAGAGCGCCATCTAGTGGAACAGAAATCAACTAAACGTTGATTTAACCTGTTCCCTGATATTTGGCCAACTCATGGTTTTTGATAAAATCAAGAAAAGCCAACCACGAACCCGTTTCAGGCAGTTGGCCCTCATCAGCGTGGTGCAGGCTGTACCTCTACGACTAAAAATATTTTGTGTAAGGTGTGTTTTACAATATATCACACATATTTTACAAACATGTATGAATGATGTGTGCCACGAAAAAATTCCCCCTAAAAAATATATTATATATATGTTTTTAAAATATTCTATATACAGTTACGAGCGTCATGCGTTCTTATTCTTCAGTTTTCATCTCTGTCACCGTTTGCTTTTTTTTGGAATGGCGCTCTCCTATTGGTTGGCTACGATCACGCTACCTTTGCCCCCCCCCCCCCCCCATCATGCCCCCCCCCCCCCACTCGCTTTTTGGTTTTTGTAACTATTGTGTTGGAGCGGGTCGCACCTTAAATAAATGCATATATTAGTTAATAACTAAATGAAATCCTCTCTTTCTTTTTCTCAGTAAGAGACGCCTACGGAAGCCAACAGTACATAGACAGATAAAGCACATAGGCTATAGTTATTAACTAATATATGCATTTATTTAAGGCGCCAATTTATAAATGTAACAAATAGTATTTGAATAAAAACATTCAATCGGGTAAAACACGGGCGTTGCCCGGGTCATTCGGCTAGTTGTATATATATATATACATACTATTATAATAATAAATAGTTATTTAATTTTATAGTCCAGTTTTGTATTAAAATTATCTTCACTATTATGATCATTTAAATACAAATTATAAAATTTGTAAAATGTTATTAATTTGTAGATAGAGAGAGAAAAAAAAAAAATCCATTACTTCTTTTACATCCTCAAGTTAATTATATATTTATAATTAATAACAATAAAAAAAATTAACAAAGTAACGTCTATTACATACTTTTATAATTTTGTTATATAGTTTCTACACTATATACATACTATTAGATATAGCCAAATTACACGGCTTCGCCCAGTTTTCACTCAAGTGTTGTTTGAGAGTTTCCCTAACGAATTGTGTTAACAATCCATATAGATAATAAATACACTAACAGAGTTTTCAAATGTAAAGTTTTAAGCAATCTCCTCCAAAGATACATAGCAATCTATGTACCAAAATTTCTTTACCTTTTACGTCATGTGTCACGCTTATTTTTATTCACCAAATATTAGTATTTCTGTTTATTTTTTTTTAATTTATTCAATTTTCCCACTCGTAGATTTTTTGGTTTCAAATTAAACATCATTTATCATCACCAAATTGCTTTGTTTTTAGAACATGTTAATTTCTAATGGTAGATATTTCATGTTTTTTTAATTCAATTGTTAATTGCTCTTTTATATTAATTTTAAGCATAGTTTTGATACTTTTTTTTATATTTTAATATTTTACAAGCAAAAATTTGCCGATATTTTAATTTTTTCAATAGTCCCACAGCAATACTTCCAAAACGGTTAGACTTTAAGGTTGGTGCTATTGTTATCACCGAGGTGCCCTCTACGCCAGTTGTTCCCAGGGTAGTCCTCGGGCTTTCTCTTTCCTCTCCGATCTGCTCACGGGTTTTTTACTTCTGGATCCCGTGTGCGTCCTTGCTACACAACTACCAGGACTGGTGGCAAATCACCACATACATTTATTTGAATATTATAAATATATTTTTATCGCTAATTTTCTTTTTTTAATATTTAAAAATCATATTTTCGAGAGGGCGCTAAGCTGATGTTTTTTTCTTTAATTATATTTTACGTTGTTTGGTTCAATTTCCTCCAAATTTATAAAATTACGCAAAAGGGTTGCATGAGAAAAGGATTTCCATACAAACGGAATTGATGTGTATGTATGTATATATGTAGGTTGAAACGTTATTTCACAGGGAGGACAGGAAGATACTATTAGAAAGAGATGCGGTCCGTTGCGGTGTTCTCCTTGAAGCGTATTAAGTCAGAAAGAGAGATGCTGTTGCTATGGCGATGGTCTATCGACCGGTCACCACGCCATGGCGGGTGGGGTAAGTCGCCTTCTGTCTCTCTGTGCGTGCCTCGTGGTGTACTCTCATGCATCCTGCTAGTGTACTACTCTACTATGTGTCTCTTGGGACTGTGGCAGCGAAATATCTGATATCTCCTAGAACTTTGTTGCTAAAACATCCTTTATTTTATCATTTTAACCCTCTAAGGCAAGATAATCATTGTTGTCAATTTATCAATGTTGTACTTACTTCTATTAGACCATAAAGATGGCGGCATCTCCATTGTTGTTTTATCAAGAAGTATATCATGTGTGGGTGGCGAGTAGTTCGGGACGTGACAATGCTAAGATGTGTCCAGCGTAGTATTAAGTATAATACGTATTTTTCAGATCAAATACTTTTGGGGATCAGTATTAGGCATCCTCTTAGCTTGCATTTAATTTGTTAGGTTTTGGAATATAAATCAAATCTCAGAGAAAATATGAGCCATGATAGCTTTTTCTTATTCAATATTAGCACACGTATTCATAGTGGGTAGAGTTTTGTGACTGCCTGTACTGTAAGTGCATCCCATATTTCTGCGACAAGACAACGCTTATAAGATGTCAGAACACGGTTGGTTAGGTTACTCGCACGAGGTAAGGTTGGAATTGTTCAACAATCTGCGGCCACACAAGTTGTTGTTTAGATAATTTATTAAAAAACAACAACAACTCTTGTTCGAATCCAGGTCCTAGAGTCGACTACTTCATCGATCAATTTGATAATTCGAGTACATAGGCATTCAATCCACCAGGGTTCCAAAGGCATTGTCAAATTATTTCACAAACATTTTAAGGCCTTTGAGTTGGCATGAAAAATGTTTGTTTAGCGAACTGATCTCCCACGTCACTGGACGAATGTGGCCATGTTTGTATATAGAGGTGGTTAAAATGTGATGTGAGGGGCTCTTCCTTAGAGTTGTGTGCTTGTCTGGTGATCTCCCCGCATACCTGTGTGGCCCTGGTCCTATCAACGCTGGAATTAAGTACAGGTTTTGTTATCGGTTTTATTTACATCCACCCACATATAGTTGTTGCGTGTACGCGTTACGATGTGTTAGGCTTAAGTATTTTCTGCGTTTAATCCCGCTTAAAGGCAGTCAGCATTTTAAAACATAGAGTAAGTAGAAAGCAAGATATTCTTTGTTCACAATATGTTGCATCGAAGTCCTCTAGCGATTACAAATATCGTGTACAACAGTTTATAATGTTTAAGCTCTATGGATATAGAACGCCAGCGATCTAGCACGCATACACAAAATAATCCATAAATCTAGGGAATACACCACTCGTAATATCTCTTGGAGGAAATTAAGTCAATAAAGTCCGAAAAAATCGGATTATTTCTCCTGTTGTCTTAATTTCTGTTATGTTGATATATAGGTGGTTGAGATGTCGATAAACAGAAGCTTTGGTAAACTCTATTGGTGTAATAAAAAGAATGGGGATACAATCCTTCTGTTTATACAAAGGCCGGTCAATAAGTAATACACACACTCAATGACCTATAGAACATTATTTAAATAATTTATCATCATTAAATTGTTTTAGGATTTTTAATAAACATTCCTCTTTTCATATCTGTAAGCATAATTAATATATCTATTGCATTATTTTTTCATATATTTTCCGCCTGAAGTAAACTCAAGAATACGACAACGGTCGTTGATGGAGTTCCTGTTTAATTCCGGAGACATTTAAGCTATTGTAATTTACTTGTGTGAATGTGTCTGGAAACAATGCCATGGATAGAATCACGATACAAAGATGGATCCAGCGCTTCCAAACTGGTGATTTTGATATTAGCGATAAAGAAATGGCTGATATTCATAAACACTCGTGAAAGAAATTCTTCTTTCAACAAGGAAAAGTATTGAACATCAGAAAAGCTAAAAAAAAAAAAAGAAAAAAAAAGAGCAATTGAAACAAAAAAGACCAACATCCTAATCAAACACCCTAATACAATTTGATCAGGATAATGCGAGACTTCACACAGCGCACCTGACTTTGGCGAAGCTTGCAGGGTATGGGTGGATGCCTCACCCCGCGTACAGCCTTGACCTGGCACCCCCAGACTTCTTCTTATTTGGAAGATTAAAAAGTTTTTTACGTGGTAAAATATTTGAAAGTGATGTAATTTTACTTCAAGCTGTTAGAGCGTGGTTCAGAGAGTTGGATAAGACGTTTTTACTAAAGTGCGTTTGCAAGATGGCA